AGCCCCGCCGCGGCACCTGGCCAGTCCGCTCCTACGCGGCCTCTCAAACCCCGCCGGGCTCCCGCGGGCGGGGGTGGGTTCGGGCCCCGGTTTCCCCTGTATATCCCGCTTGGAACTCGCTGTTTCAAACGAAATGCGAAACGAGGGCTTTTCCTCCAAAACGTGAGTCCGCCAGCGGGCCGGAGGCGAGCGCTGGGGTGTACCCACGCTCGGCACTGCCCGCCGGCCTTCGGCATCTCCCTCCACCGGCACTGAGGGGAAATCTCCCATTCCCACGGAGATTTTGCCGACTGGATGAAACCACCGGTCAGCAACAAGTTCTAACTTAGTTAACACCTAAAATTTTAAAGCATCCTTTCACCTGTCTTTAGCCCCAGGGCTCAGAAGAAGCCAAGACATTTGTACATGCCTTCCTGAGGCGCAGCATGCCCAAAATGAAAGATGAAGCTATCCAGGATATGCTAAATCGGAAAGCTGTCATTCTGGAGCATTATCCCAAAAAAAAGACCAAGCAAAAGAGGAAGAAGACAAAAGGTTTTACTGCCAAGCAGAGGCGAGAGCTGCGTCTGTTTGAAATTGAACCTGAGCAGCAAAGGTAGGGCTTTAAATATAACTTTGTGTAGTAAAGTGGAACTACATCAAAAGTGTGTAAAAGCAGTAGCAAGTGCATGTGGATAGGAGCCCTGCAGTGTGCAAAGTCAGTCTGAAACACTGCTTGTGGCATTTCAGCATGAGAAAAGAATTCTCTTGTCTGCACAGGTGAAAGATTAATTTCTGTTGAGCTCATTTTGTGTACCTAAATATGACAAGAAATCAAACCCAGTCACAATCCCCTCTGGTTCCAGTTTGTAAAGTTGGACTGTCTGTGACCACAGAGTCAAAGTTCTGCATAAGGTTCTTTGAATTTATTGTGCTGAATGAAGCCCCTACTTTGCTAACAAATTAAGCAGGGAGGTAAAAGAATAGGCAAAAAAGGAGAAATCTCTTCAGTCTTAGCCTGATGCTCTGAAACACATCACTGTTTTAGGTTGGTAGAAAAGAACATGCTTTGTGCTTGTTTTATAAAGTAAACCAGCTGTTTGGAGTGGGTCACATTGCAGGGTAACTTAAGCTTATGTAACTTAAAAATGTCAGACTTAACTCTGTGGAAGTACAGACTACTTCAGCCAATGGACTTTTTTACAACTAAATTTTGTTTAATACTTTTCATTTATCTTTTTTTACTGCAGATATGCCATTTTCCTCCCACTCCACGAGCTTTGGAAACAGTATATCAGAGACCTGTGCCATGGACTCAAACCTGATGCGTATGTTGACATATTTTAAATTTAGTCTGGGTTTTATACAGTAGATACTTCCAATTTTATTGAGTTACTACTTGAAACACTGTGGCTCACTGATAAGCATATTGGTACTATTTTACAGAATCACAGAATTATCATGATTATAATAGTTATGGTGACATTTTGTAAATCTGACAGTTCATTTGATTTTTTTCCCTCCTCTCTGATCCCGTTCTCTTCTTCAAGGCAACCCCATATGATTCAGAGCAAGCTGCTCAAAGCTGATCTCCATGGAGCCATTGTTACAGGTATTTTGTTTGTTTGCTTGTAGAACATCATCTAAAGTTCAGTATTTGATTCTGTAGTTCAGGTGCTTATTTTTATATTCCTTTCAGCTTCGTTAGCTCTAAAATCATGTAGTTGAGATCTTATTTCTCTCCTTAAAAATGCTAATTACTTTACAACTACTCTTGAAAATCATGTTGGTTGCAAAGGTTAACTGCACATTTTACCAGTGATTACTGTAACTACATTAGTTCAGAATATTTAAATGTTTATGTTTGAAAATGTATAAAATCATGAAGCAACAGGAGAAGAGCAGATAAATTTTCTAATACATACTGTTGTTCTTTCAGTTACAAAATCAAAGTGCCCCTCTTATGTTGGGATAACAGGAATCATTCTACAGGAATTTAAACACATCTTCAAAATTATCACTAAAGAGGACAAATTAAAAGGTATACAAGGCATTCTTTTTCAGTTCTTTTCATGACATGAATCATAAAAAAATTCTTGAGCACACTCTTCATTTTGTGCCGCTGCATACATTGTTTTATATCAGTGCTTTTGGCTCTTTGCACAGAGTGGCAGAGGTTACCACCCTACACATCACAAATGAGCAGTTTTAGAAGATGTAACACTGAACTGTATGCTCCTGCAGGAGAATTAACTTTGGTTATTCCAGTTAAATGTGGAGGCTTGGGTTATTTTTCTTCTCTTGATAAAGTATAAAAACCTTGAAATGTGTCAAGGCTCAAATCTCCGGGTGAATAACATCCCCTGGTATGTCAGGATATTTCCACAACAGGGACTTAAATCAGCACACTTTGCTCAGTTTATGTCCTTTTGCATTTCAGTTGTTCCCAAACTTAACAACGTGTTTAGCTTGGAGCTTGATGGATTCATTTCCTACATCTATGGCAGCAAGTTCCTGCTCAGAGCAAGTGAGCGATCGGCAAAGAAATTCAAGTTGAAAGGAACCATTGACCTGTGATTTCATGGAAACTCAGAAGCATTCACAGAAACGTGTTTTCCTGCAGCTCAAAGAGTAGGTTTTCTGGCAGATGGAAGAAGCAACAGCCATGTGAAATATTTCTAAAGCATTCCTTCTTACTGAAGAATGAGCAGTATCTGCTGTCTTTAAGCAGTTTTCACCAACTGTTAAAATTGGTTATGTCTAGTTTTTTTATTTGTATATAATATTTTGTCTTGTATTACAGTTACATGATTAATATTATCTACCTGACTTCTGTTTCAGTGAAAATTATATTTTGTAACTTTGCAATAAATATTATTGTTGCCTTTTGTATAAATTGGGCTTTAGCTGCCTGTTATATGCTTGCAGTGAGACTGCAGGTCCTGACACATGCTCTTTTAATCATTGTTCCTGGGCCAAGATCAGCATCTTGGCCTGCTGCAGGCACATGCAAATAAATTGTTTCAGTGGCAGGTTTTACCTTGAGCATGTCCCTGGCTGGGGTTGATGTTGTTATGGGTGCCAGGTGTGTACAGTGTTGATGTATACGTGTAACAATGCACAACCACAGCAGGCATGTCCTGCAGGCTGTCTGTGCTCACTAACACCCTGCTGCTGCCAGGGCGAGTCGGGTGTCTGCATCAATAAATACACATTGCCATGGCACGGTGCAGGGAACCCAGCACAGCCCCTAAGAGGGATGCACTTCAAGCTGGAAATTCACAGATGGAAGTGGCCCCCATTCAATCTTGTATTTCAATTACCCACAGAATTGCTTTATGAATATTTAACCTCTGTCCACAGAGCTATTGTGCTTTTTCTGTCCTCAGCCCCTTTTTCATTTTTTACTGTACACTTCATTTTTGATTGCCCAGATTACAATTCCTCATTGACCGGGCAGGTTTGATGTGTCTGGGCGGTGGAAGTGACCCCTGAATTTAGATTGCTTAACATTTTTTAGTTATAAAAGTGCTGTGGAGGCTTTAAGTGTAATTTTCAGGAGTATTTCATCAATTTCACTACCAAATGGAAGACTTGTACCTATGAATTTTTTTTCCCTGTCACCATTCAAGCATTTGTAGCCAGCCAGGGTAATTTCTTTAAAGAGAACACAGCCGTTCCTCACACAATCACACCCCAAAGCTGAGTAAGGGGTTGGGAGGGCAGTCAGAGCTTTTGTCTTACAGTCAGGGCCAGAGCTCATCACCACCTCCCACCCCAGTGCTACACAAACACACACCTGACCCCCAAAGCTCCCACTTCCTTTCCAGACCTGTTGCTGGGAGAGGTCACAGGAGCTCCCTGGCACGAGCCCTCAGACACAGCACCTTCACCATCCCTGAATGGGGGAATCACAGTGTGGGCAGTACTGGTGTTCAGGAACAGATCCTCTGGAATCAGGAAATGCAAGCAGTTGGTATAGAAAGAAAAATCTTCGTTGCAATTCTGTGAAGTATTGCCCTTGAAATAGAGAAAACAGTGTTCTTCTTGCCAGGGCAGATATATGGGGAAGTAGTAATTTCACACCAATGAGAACTTTTATCTGTGAAGTAAGAACAGTATGTGTTAAAGTTGTTAGACATAAGTTCATATTCTACCTTCCACTCATTGGTCCTTTCAATGTTCTAAAATTAAAACTCAGTGTCCTGTAAGAGGTCAGAAGAAAAACAAAGATGTAGAAATCCTAAATAATGACAGAAACTTTCCTTTCACGACAACAACCTAGTTTTAATTTTGCTCATAGCCTTTAGTGTAACATCTAATTAAGGCATCTGTTAAATGCCTATAATATTAAATTAATAGGGGGAAGCTAATAGAACTTTATTGGCATAGTCCTGTTAATTAACATACAGGGCCGTTCATGGAGGGCTGAAAGAGACATTAATGGGGATGCCATACAAATTGAAATTAGGCACAATCATGTCTCATTGTGCTGTGAAGGACAGAACATGTTCCACCATATGGACACATAGATGAACACGATACAACCTCCCATAGCTACTGGCACTTGCATTTTTTAAACTATTGCAGCAAGCAGAAGAACAAACACTGCCTGGCAGTGCCCTGGTAAGAGCAAGGCTTTTGATATTTACAGTGAGGAGCCCCGGAGATGTCAAAGAGCTCCCCAGAGTAATCCAGGCTAGTGGCACAGAGAGGTGACAAATGCAGAATAACAAGAGCTGAGCAGCCCAGGATTCAGGATCCTTTCCTGCAGCTGGTAGGTCAGCTGAGAGGCCTTTTTGCAAAGCTCCAGGTGTCCCAAACAGCCCCAGGACTCACTCAGCTGAACCACCCCAGAGCTGGGATCACTGCCCAGCCCCCAAAAATCAGCCTAATCCCACCTGGCTCTGTGTTCACTTTCCCTAGAACTCATTAAACTCCTCAGTGCTTGTGGAGGAACTTCCTTAGAAACCGGGAGAGGTGAAAATGACAGCTCACCAGCCCTCCCCTGCCCATTCACAGCCAATCTCCATCTCTTCATTAGCTGAGACAGTAAATCCTTAATGGATTTAATATTGGGAAATTGGAGAACTAATCACAGCTGTCTCTAATATGCTTCATCCTTCATATGTTCAACTCTGGATTGCACTCAGCAGAGGCTTTTTTGTAATGATTTTTACACCTAAACTCTCACTAACCAGGGAATAACAAACAGCAGTGAGAAACATCTCACTATCTTACACACATTTGTGCTTCCCTATTACTGTGTATGTATATTTATAACTAATATGAACTAAAACAATTGTAAGCAATTCAGTTACTGAATTCTGAACACTTAAGCAAGAATAGAAAAACAAAAATCCTATCATTTCTCTTTGAAACCTCAAAATAATTCATTGTAGGAAATGTTTAAAATTGAAGCCAATTCACATCCAAGAAAACACATGGAAAATTCTCTTTGAGGGGGATTTCCTCTAAAAAATGGGTTAAGACAGCAATACAATGGAAACCCCAAAAAACTGCCTATGACTGACAAACTCAAATCACTGAAATAACAGCAGCAAGTAGCTGGTATGTATTAAATTCATCCAGTATTTAGAGAAGGGTAAGAGACAGCACAAAATTCTGATCCAGACCATGCTTTCAGGAAACAGCAGCAATATTTTCTCAAAACCTGGGTGGCCCTCAGTCCCTTACCAGAACAGTTCCATGCGCCCATTCCCATTACAAATGATCACCTTTGTTCCTGCTGTTAGACAACCCAAAATCTGAGCAAGCCTGTCATGCTACAGCATTCACCAGCCCATGGTCCTACATACCAAATCCAATTATACAGCAACAGTGATTCCAGGGAATTTCCCAGAGGTTTGACCTGCTCTTGTCTCATGTGCCCCACCCTTAATTCTGTCACTCCTGTGGTAGCTCCAATTCTAAGTCCCTACAAAGTGGGATGAAAATTAATTATTTTGGTGAGGCAGAAATTTCCCTCAGTGTACTGGTTTAATTAAATCAATGAGCAAACATGAAAAATAGAGGATCCATAGAACAGAGGATCTGCTGCTGGGAGGAGCAGTTACATCTGGCAAACACGAAGCTCCTGGCTGCAAACAAACAGCACCTAACACTACCTGCACATGGGGTCTGACACCGACCTCTGCTGGATAGGAATTATGGAAAGCTACAGAGAACCCAACATTTGATACTGAATTAAGAGCTCTCCCTGTGAAGAGAGATCTCTGCTGCTTTCTATTATTAGTCAGATAAGGTACAGTACATTATAATCATTGAGAAGAGAAAAAAAGTCTACAATTAGCTAAAATAACATAACTGATAGGAAAAGGTACAGTCTAAACTTTACATTTTCTCCTACCCTGCTCCCCAGCCAAATTTTAGGCTATTCCTTTTTTTAATTTTGCTAAGAACTATTCCCATATTGCCAAACCATCCTGATTTTAAACATGTTATTTTCATATACTTTCAGGCACTGCCCAATCTTCTACAGGCATCTGAACAGCATGTTAAACATCTGCATACAGGCCTGTTAATAGAAACTTCTTCCTGCTTTATTAGTTAATAAATTCAGCCTTATTTCTTTCAAGTCAAAGGATAAGCTCCTACTCTCATGGCATATGTCCATTTTACTAAGGAACTAATCTTAAAAGGTACAAAAATATATCATAACAAAGAACAATATTTATAGTATTCAAATCAAAGGACTCCAGCTTCACCTCAAAATTTTTAAATCAATAACCTGAACTGAATATAAATGCATAAAGTCTTATATGATTTTTAAGGGCAAAAGACATCAAAATCAAAACCTCAAGCAGGACTGCACTCACTTTTCTGTGGGTCAGGGTTTCTCAGGTGAGCCTTGTGGCTCCAGGGCCCCAGGTTTATAACAGAACGTGCAGGGAAATGTTCTTGTTGCATCTGTGTGTCCAGCTGCCATCACTGGCCTCTGACTACAAACTCCTTGGACATTCTATGGTGTACACACAGTACAGCCCCAAAATAGACTCCACTTTATAGCACCATTACTCTGGGAGGGAGGGAAGAATAAGATTATGCACTTCTTGAAAATGTTAAAATAATTCCATAAATCTGAATAAAATTAATTTTTTTCTTGGTGAAATTGTCTGCAACACTCTGCCATGCATATTCTTCCTCTACAGGATTATTTCAAAATTATGGACTCAGAAATGTTCAGCTGGGTAGTTCTTGGGTGGCTGAGGTGCTCACTGAAGAATTTAAATGATGTAATAGCTATTGAACACCCCATTATATGGCTGCCTAATTAATGTGAATGATAGTTATGTCTTACTCACAGAAGATTATTTTACACGGAGGAAAATCTACTCACTGCCACAGTAGCCATTTCGATAGTTTTTATAGGAGCAGTTGCATTATGGCTTCATTGAGTAAAAGGTAAGTAGCCGTCCTAAATAATGAAGATTGAAGGTTTAATAGTCCCAATAAAGAATCCTGCAGGTTTTTTATTTCAAAAATTAGAGTTTGATTGCAAGCGTATGATAATGAGAGGGAAAAGAGCGCTGGCATGTGGAATCCTTTTGGCTCCTTGGGAACTTCCAGTTCTTCTGTGCAGAAATGCAGACAAATGAGGACAGCAAAACAGAAAATAAGCTGTTCTTTACTTTCCCTACCAGCACATCCAAGCTCCAAGGCTGTCCCTGGGGGAGCATTTCCATGGATAAGGACATGCTGGGCTGGGCTGCTGGGAAGGCTGACCCTGCACACGGCTGATCACGTACAAACAAACAACCTCAAACAGTGTGAAGAGCCCAGATTAGACCCATTTGAATGATGATATGCAGACATAAGCCAGCCTTGCAAACTTGGCTCAGAGTTGCAGCCTATTACAGCAACTCTTTTTTGTGAGGCAATAGTCAAGGGACTTGGCATTTCTGTTACGAGACCCTATTTGCAAGGTTATATATCAGAGATTATAACAGCTATAAAAATTCAAATGAGATTTAGAACTTGGCATGAGCAGCCTCACTTGGGATCTAATATTTTTAAGTAAATC